CCCTCCTCCAGTAACTTTAGCTTTGTGCCCACAACCTCTTGCTGGCAGCCACACAGAAAGTCCTGTGGCTGAGCTCCTACCAGAGCCCATTCCTATGCAACCCTTGACTTACAACCTGGCAGCGTGGAGGCTTCTGCCAGGTGTGTCACGCTGGGTTCTCCGATCCAATTCGGAAACACCCTCCATTTCCATCGCAATCCTCCTTGCTTCAACGGGGTTCATCCCACTGTTACGAACAGCGCCCTAGAGGCTTCTGTTCTACAGCAGGAAGTGACGTCGATCCTCCTGAAGGGAGAAATAGAGGAGGTTCCCCCTTCGGACTTGAACCTGAACCTCGGGCTTTTTCAGCCACTACTTCCTCGTTCCGAAGAAAGATGGTGAAGAAAGATGAAAGTCTGCGCCCCATATCGAACCTACGTAATCTGAATTCTTCCCTCTACAAAGTAAAAATTCAAGATGCTGACATTAAAAACTCTCCTGGCGCAGATCCGAACAGGGAACTGTTTTGTTACAGTGGACATGAAGGTGTACCAATTTCGGGTCCTTCCATTTGATCTGGCTTTGGCTCCGCGGACATCCGTGTACTAAATTTTCCTAGATGACTGGCTCATTCTGGCTCAATCCAGAGAGTTGTTATGTCGTCACAGAGACGTCCTTCACCACTTCCGGTCTCTTGGTCTCAGGCTGAATTTTCAGAAGAGCACCATACCACCTTCTGAGTGGAACATTTTCTTGGGTGTCCAGCTCGATTCTCTCTCGATGCAGGCCAGGTTGGCCCCTGCTCGAGTTTCCAGTCTCCGTGTGTGCTTGGCCCACTTTAGGCTCAGCTATGTTGCAGTGGGCATATGTCGCAGACTTCTGGGGCTCAAGGCAGCACCCTGTGGTGGATGAAAGCTTTCCGTCTGATGAATCTATCGCGCAGTTGCCTTCATGCTCTCTTTTTGCTTAGAGGAAACTCTCTCTCTAGAGTGCTGTCTAGACAGCTGTGCTCCTTTATGTTATTTTCAGGATGGACAACAAGGCAGTGATGTCCCACATAAAATGGCAGGGAGGATTGCGGTCACGCAGCCTGAACAGGCATGTGCGCTGCCTCCTCCTATGGGCTCAAGACAGGTTCCTTTCGCTGAGAGCAGTTCACGTTCTAGGAGACTTGAACTTCGCAGCGGATTTCCTGTCGAGACAGAAACTCAGGTCAGGGGAATGGATGCTGTGCCGCCAAATGTTGTCTCAGATTTAAAAGCCTTTTCGGCAAGGCGGAGGTGGACCTCTTTCCATCACAAGACTTGACTCAGTGGCCCCTGTGGTTCTCCCTGTCTCATTAGGTGCTTCTGGGGATAGATGCCTTTGCTCATCCATGGCCGGATTTGAGGCTTTATGCATTCCCTCCAGTCAAGTTAATCCCTGCAGTCCTTTATAGAGTGAGGAAATTCGTGTCCTTTTGGTAGCCCTGTTCTGGCCATCCCAGACGTGGTTTTCGGAGCTGAGCTCCTTGGTTGAAGGGTCCCTGTGGGGAGATCTGTTGTCTCAGCTCCAGGGTAGGATCTTGCATCCTCAGAGTAGGATCTGGCTTCTGGTCTTCCAGCTAATGTTCGTGAGACCATTGATAACAATCATGAGCCTTCTACTAGACGGCTGTATTTTTTTAAGTGGAAGGTCATTGAGTCTTGGTATACAGTGGATTAATTCAGCTGCATGGTTGGTTCAGTGCTGGAATTCCTGCAGGATAAGTTTGCTGCCGGTGCGGCTGCGAATACTTTGAGGGTTTACTCCCGTCGGGAGTCAGATGAGGGTCCCTTAGGTAGACACTGTCTGGTGTCTTCGTTTATGCATGGAGTTAGACGCTTCAGAGCTACGTGTCCTGTTAGTGCCCCCACCTGGGATTTGTCAGTTGTTTTAGACGGATTATTGGAACCTGACATTTGTGTTGTGGCAAGTTGGTCCACCCTGCACACTTTTATCAAGTTTTATAATCTGGATTTGGATGCAGCCCCTGGTTCCCAGATTCTTCCGCATGAAGTGGTCGCCTTGGTCCGGGTTGACTTTGTTCTGGTTCCGGAAAAAAAAGAAGTATTTGGGCCACATCTGGCAGCGCTTAGCTTGGCGTGTGTGGTATATCGTTCCCATTGCATCATTGCTACGCAGCACTGAGTGAACCTATGAAAGAGAATGTCTCGGGTTACTTACGTAACCCATGTTCTCTGAATACGGAACGAGACGCTGCTTTCGCTGCCAAGCTCCTCTTGCTGCCGAGGAGGGCTTCTTCGGTAGAAAATCTGAGGAGCAGATGACACGTTCACTGCATTAAGAATGAGTGAGGAGGAGGCGCCTGCGCTATCAGCCAATGAATTGGCATGATTCTATATGGGTTCAGACAATTGGCACTGCCTCGAGGGCATTCCCATTGCGTCATCGCTACACAGCGCCTCGTTCCCTATTCAGAGAACATAGGTTACGCAAGTAACCCAAGACGTTTTCCTTGGATATTTACAGGTAAAGGTGTTTATTATCTTATTAAATTAACTTTGAAAAGTTAATTGAACACATCCTGTCACAAAAGCTCTCATTCTTGCAGATCTCATTCTTCCACTTGCACCTCAATAGTTCTACTGCCCCATAAATAGATCAGCATGCAGAATAAATCCTATTTATACTGAAGAGGGGAGTACATACTGCCTATGATTAACACAACTGCCTGTCAATCATAACTCAGGCAACCTTAGTGAAAACAGGACATCATGCATCCTCCTGGCAGCCATTTCCTGTCACCTGAGCATCCACTGCAATGACCTTGTGCATCCGAGTGTAGTCGTTGACATGGGACACCAGCTGGAATAAAGTCCATCAAGGGGCTTGTTCTGGGGTACATGTGTTTGTTTGGGAGGAGATGATATGCAGTACAACCCAGATAAATATCCCAGATAGCACAAGTCTATTTGATGTTATATTTACATCTGGAAGACGTATTTTTAAGAGTGTTATAGTCCAACCTTACATCACAACTGCAGGCCAGGCTCAACTCTGGAAAAATATGGTATTAAAACACATGTTGGCCATGTGACTTCATTAGAGAGGACTATGATCAGTACTACATAGGTGCACCCACATTTGCAGTCTTGAACACAAGTTTACTCAGTATATATTTTTCCATTCATGAATAGGTGAAAAAAAAAAAAAAAAAAAAAAAAAAACGGGAGGTGGTATGGGGGATAATGCCTGCCACTGCAAAACTCGCTTCCAAATTTGAATGGTGTTACTAAGCGATTACATACTAGACTGAATAAAACTATCCCATTAGTAGGTTCCCAAGAGTCTATATATTCTGGCCACTATACAAAATTTTGGACACATTTGACTGAATTAGTTTTTTTACAACTCGGTATTTTTCAGCAACGCTAACTTAACCAAATGAATTTAAAAATTAGCTAATGATCGGTTTCCTGAACCGCATCCTCATTTGCCAGTTGTGTTGGGATAGTCGAACAAAAAAATATATATATATAGTTAAGACCCTTTCACAGGCCATCTTAAAAAAGTTAATCGTTCCACTTACACGAGAATCAGGAAGTCCACAGCTTAACTATAAAGATAAAGAACGATATCATTGGAATCATGGTGCGTTCAAGTCCTCCTGGGAAGTTCGTATTTACGAGTTGGGAAGTCGTGTTTACGACGTCAGGTGATTTCAAGTCACTTATGCCAATTAAAATTCTCTTAATTACCGACAAGAAAATGAAGAACAAAGAATGAGCATCAGGTGTGTTTTGCTGTTTTTAATTAATGAAGTTATACTATAAACTATATCTTTACGTAATATTTTGTTATATTACTACAATGCTATTATATTTTGCACAGGCAATTGTTATTTTGTTGCAAATAAAAAAGCCTGACAATGTCACTGTTAAATACCTATTCTTTACTGTGGTATTCCACGTTTCTCACTGACACGGCCCCAACACGTAAAGATAGGGGATTTAAAGAAATCCTGAGTTTCCCACTCATATTTACAACTTTGTGGTAGCGTTCATGTACCTACAATTCGTAAATACGACTTTGCACTATCACTTTCAGAATTATTTCCCCCCCCCCAGCCAACTTTAAAGTACTTGAGCATTTCTATTAGTTATCTTAAAAGTTCTAGGTGTGAACGGACCTTTAATCAACTTGCAAATTGCTTACTCATACAACATTCATATTTTGTGCTGTTCAGGAAAAAGCATAAAAAAATGTTACTTAAAGTGCTTTTTGAGACAAAAATAAACTGTGCTCAAGTATGATTTTCATTACAAAGCTAAAAGAAACAATACAAAAAATGGAAAACAGAACAACAGAAAAGCAGTCAACAAGTCTCAACACATATTGGTCTTTCAATAGCATGATGAACCTTGTGAAGCTCGAGAGAACTAGAGCTCTAATTTAAGGTGTCTCCTTTGAAAATAAATAAACTGAACAACTTCTAGTTTCGATTTTAAGTATATTCCTATAGAAAGACAGTGTAATTGACCTTATTTTCTTTTGGCCACTACTGGGTGTTATGACTTATTATATTACCATTATATTAAAAAGTGAAAAATAACAGTAATAAAGAACAAGGAAGCATGTACAAACTTGAATGATAGTGCAAAGGCTCTATGTATTAATCTAGTAGATCATTTCACATCTCCAGTCATTTCAAGTAGAACACATTTCCTCAAGCTGTATGATTTGAGGTATCATTCATGTCCACTGCAAAAACGGTGCAGGATGAGTTAAGTGCCAAAGTTGAATATTTTTCAAAACCCTATAACCCTAATAATGAGCTTGGTTTAACAAGCACAAAACAAACACCTTTTTTACTCCATCACAGAGGGCTACTCACTTCTACCCCTTCCAAGCCAACAGAAGAAAAAGGCTGAAAACAAAATGACAAAACTGAAAATTCACATTTCACAGTCCTGCTTAACAATAGATTTAATCAGAACATATAAAGGGTCTAAAAGGTAAACCATTATGAGACCAAGAAATGAGCTTGTAATTTATTGGTAGAAAAGGTCAAGGAAAATAATCGTAAAAGCCATGAAAACATAAACTCCACTGACTTTTACCGTATAAATAAATCACTTTTAATCTTGCATAAGCTAAGTGTTTTGTACGTAACTTTCAATTACTTTTGTGCACACGCACATCCTTCAAATTACTCAAGACTCCAGGAAGAGTACAGAGCAAATAACATGTCTCTGCTTATCTGTGTAATCAGCATATGCTGCAGATGAAATTCAAAGTCAAATTTCATACACTTGATTGTTCAGAGGAATAGTTTCACACTTAAAGGTTCAATGCCAGTAACGCATTGGCTGTGCAGAACCAACTCCTATCCAATCCACTCCAAAACAACACAAGAAAGGGGAGGGAAAGAGGCACATTCACAAACACACTCATTCCACTCGCACAAAGAAGAGGTCCAGGGCTGCAGCAGGTTTTAATGCTATTATGGAAGGCCAGAGAATTTGCACACATGGCACAGCGTCCAACACACACACACCCTGCCCTGCTATTACAAAATCTTGGACTCTCTTTAACAGATGTCAATCAACAGTAATAAATAAATGTAATCTTTAGAAGGCTTTGTTGGGCAGGAAGAAAAAAAACCTCCATTACTTTCCTTAAAGGACCAAAGTTCTTGTGTCTGTTGTCTGCTAACAGACTACATTTAGAAATATTTTTAGACCACAGTGGCCACACAAGTAATGCTACATGAACAAGTTTCCAACAAATTGAAAAGAAGGGGAAAAAATAAAGAAGAAAGCAGCATCCTGTAAGTCTCGTTTCTGGAGAAAACTCCTAAGGGTCTTTGGGAAGACTGATGTGAATCAGCATTATCCCACCAAAATCCATCCTGACATCATCTCTTAGCTGTATTGGGATCAGTGTGTTTAAAGGGAGAGTGACAGGGTGTGATATGGTAAGCAGCTTGTTGGTGATGCACAGGGTGTCACGACAGCATAGTAAGAAGTCTTCAGTGCATCGGCCTCTAGACTCCCTCCTCCTCATGCTGGTTGTCTCTATAGATATCTCTGACCAGCAGCACTCGAGTCAGGAGCCTAGCCAGCACGCTATTCTCTAGAGGTGTCGAGCTGAACCACAGCGGACTGTCCGAGGAAGCAGAGACCTCTGGCTTCATGTAAAAAAAATCTGTCCTCTGTCTCACAGACTCTGGGCTGAGGGGAAAGAGAGGAGACAGGTTAAACAACAACACAAACAGCAGTCAGATCCCACAGAGAACTAGAGATACAGCGATATTACAAATCTGGCTGATATAAAAATACAAAATATTTTCCTGTTACGGGAGATAAACTGATATACATTTAAATTAAACCCTAATATCAATATTTTTAAATGCTACAACTATTTTTAGGAATCACAGTATGAAAAAAGGAGATTCATTTTTGAGATTTGCTTAAGATCAAAGTTTTGGGGTAAGATTTTTTAGAATGTAAATTTTTTTTTAAATAAATTAATTTATTCCTGTGATAGCAAAGCTGAATTTTCAGCATCATTACACAAGTTTCAATGTCACATGATCCTTCAGAAATCACTCTAATATGCTGATTTGCAGCTCAAGAAAGATTTCTTGAGTGTTGAAGTGTTGAAAACAGTTTTGCGGCCTCATTTTTTTATTTTTAAACATGATAATTTTTTCAAGATCCTTAAACGAATACAACGAAGTTCAAAGCAACAACAATTTATTTTAAATAGAAAATGGTCACTTTTGATCCTTGCTGAATAAGTGTCTTACTTTTGTTTTGTCTGGCCTATACATTTTTTCAAACAGTTTACATTAATACCACACCAACACAGGAATTCTGACTGCACAGCTGAATCACCGCAGGGTCTCTTTACAGACTATGATGTGTCCTCATATTACAAGTGTCAACACCATATTTCAGAATGTGAACAGCAAATGTTATAATCACTGGACACCGCTTAGTTCAAAACAACTTGAACTAGCTAATCATGGTATTGGGTTGCCCTTATGGGCTGAAATATGTGCCACCAGAAACTGAATTTCAATCATTTATATTTGAATTGCTAAACTTGAATAATTGCATTGAAAAACTGAATTTAAATAACAATTTGAAATTGTATTGTTTAATTTGAATCATTGTATTGAAAAACTGAATCTGAGTTGTATCATTAGAAATTGAATCTATTCGTTTGGAACTGAAGTCCAATAAAATTTGATCCTCACTGAAAATTAAACTATATATCTTCACATTCACTTCTCACAATTCAGATTCAGTTCTCAAATTCAATTTCAAGTTACTGAGACAGATATCCGGGTAGTTGGAGGATGAAGGAAGAGCAATCAAGCGCAGATCGATAGATAACGTTCATTGGCGCACAGGACTCCTCTTGGGCCAATCAGCACCTACGTTTTGGAGCATACTACGTACCCGCCATGAAACAAGGAAGAAATGCTTGCCTTGCCGACAGTGGCGGCGCTAGGGAGGGGCTAGCAGGTGCTTCAGCACCCCCAAGAAAGACCAAAGCACCCCGATAGCACCCCCAAAAATTATGTCTGGAATCAGGGTGTTATATTATATTCAGGGTGTATTCTATGGAAGCCCTGAACCGCATGGTGAAGAAAAAAGAAAACTTATCTTGTTATTTCGAGATATTAAAGACCATATTGCAGGTTAAAAAAAAATCTAAATTAATATATAACCTTGTATGAAAATACCATATGAAAAGGTAATGCAGGATTTAAAATGTTTTAAAACGACATAAGGGCACAAATTTAGTAGATAAAGTGAGCGTTTCTTTGACTGTTGTAAAAAACGTTTTTTTTTTTCAACATCGCGTCATTTTACGTCACCAGAGGGAGGGAGCCTTAGCAGCGCAGATAGGTTTGTATTCAGTACAAGCGGGTAAATTTGCTTTTTTATACTCAGAATGACAATTTGGAATGTAAAGAACAACATATTATACAGTTATTTGTTTTATTAGGAAAATACCATATACATAAAAAGAATTGGGCTTTTTTTCACGTTTTATAAATGACTTCACATTATATGTAAATCTTTTGGAACAAACAAAAACAAAAAAGCAATGAAAACATGTAATGCTTTGAAAGCACTGGATTTTATTCAAAACTTTTTTTGTATTTTTTATTTCCTGGCAGCTAATGTTAATGTGATATTGTGAATATGTACATGTTCTTGTGGCATCGAATTTAAAAAAAAAAGTCAGTAAGAGCGGTCCTGAATCAGTGTTTTCGGTAGTTTTTGTATTTTAATTTATCATCGTCATCATGGTAAATTATTGTGTTTGTGGAGGTTGCAAAAACTCCGGCCTGTCAGGACATCGAGTCAGGTTTCCTAACAAGAAAAGGGACGGTGCTGTCTATCGTGCCTGTGTGCGGTTTGTGCCGGTGAAGAGACAGGATTTCTCTTCCGCATCGGCTTCCAAAAACGCGATCGTGTGTAGCGTACACCAGATCTGGGGAACAAAAACGTGTATATCAGGAATAAAAATATCTATCTGTCTCTCGATGAGAAACCGCTAAGTTATATCACGTAACGTTAGTCTGGACGGATATTAATGAGCATGACATATGCGCCTGTTCAATATAGTTTATTCTGTTATTGGTAAATTCCAACTCCTAGATGACCAATAATAGCTTTGCTATTAACTGATATACGATGGTAATAATCGATATACACCTCACATTTGACCAAACAGAAAGAACTATGCACTATTAACTATTACACTATTAATTAAAACTCACAGTGAACAGCATTAAATATAAAAACACATATGCCTTACCTTTTTTTTGCAGTTTTTATTGCAGTGGTATAATGTTTTGCCGACAGCACTACAGTCCTCATTTTTTATTGCTGCTTCCATTCTCCTGATTGCTATTATTTAATTTCTTCGTTAAAAAAACATCCAGGGAAGATTGAATAGGCCTGTTCTTTTAACGTTTACTCAGTATCTGACAGCTAGGCTAATCAAAAATATGCGCGATTAAGTGATGCAATAAACTGCGGCTGCGTACACTCACTCCACACAAGTTTTTTTATAATAATACTTTTGCAATAATGTGTGTCTCCTCTGACCGTTGTTCTATCTAACATTAATCCTGGCCTGCTCTCTCGGCAGCATAGCAGGCTCATAATTGTAAGGCTGTCGTCCGTGGTCTGTCATACGAGTAAGTCCGAAATGTCATTGCGATCCATTGTTTTCCTGTTGTTTGAATGGTTTGAATCGACCGCTCTCCCGCCCGTTACGTCACGCCCGTCACGCCCATTTTCAGATGCGGAAGTAAAATTCTCTCACAAAAACGACTCCAGAAGCCAATGTAACGTATTTATAAGTATATTTTAACGAAAATCTAATTACTGCATTGTTTTTCTATACATTGACTCGTTGGGTCCTCTAACCTGCAATATGCCCTTTAAGTCGTTATTTCGACATAATAACAGGGGTTTTCCTGCATTTAATTTTTTTTGGCGGCCGTCAAAGCAAATTTTTGTCCCGCCAAAGCCTTTTTTGATCGGTGAGTGATGTAGAATAGAATGACTGCTGTGCTTGACAGGGCGCATAACGAGCAGAGAGAGCGCCCCGGCCGCGCGCGTGCAATCTCACGTCTTCAAACAACACGAGCGCTGTCTTGCTCTCTCCCTTGCGCAAATTAATCAAAATCAATTGAAACGATAGTAAAAGGTCGGAAGACCACAGTTTCACATGGAGCATTTGGAGATTTTTTCTCCTGAATTACCACGGGGTGAATTGTGCTAAAAAAAAACCCGTTGCCTTATCTTCTCTAAAAAGCGTTCCGCCCATTCAGCTGACATAAACCACATTTTATTACACGAAAAAACCTATCCAGTGATTAAATGTTTTCTGTATTGACGCAAATCTTGTGCGATGTCCTAAACTGCCGAGATAATCACACAAGCGTGCCGTGGCTAGACGTCCACTAATGACACGTCCGATACGCAAACGAATGATTCATTAGAACTATTCACTTTAATGAATGGTTAAAACAACTGATCTGTCCAACACTGAACTCACGAAACATCTGAATCGGTGTATAAAAAAAAATAATTAAAAAAATCAGTAACACTTACATTAGTTAACATTTATTATTAATAAACTGCACTTCTACAGCATTGTTAATGTTAATTTCAATATTTAGGCTAGAGAGTAGGCTATGTAGGCCTACTATGTTGTAGCCTTTAAATAAGACCATTTAGTTCCATATTTGTTCAAATATTATGATGTTATTTTTTTTCCATCTATGCTGATTATGAAAACAGCATGAGTAAGATGCGCAATATATCGGGATGGGTCAGACATGATTTTGACCACTTCATTAAGTTGTTTTGTAGAAAGCATTTCTTTAAAGCGAATTTCGTTTTGTATGAATTGTATCTTAATTTTAATCAATTTTTCATCAACCAATTGACTGGATATAATAAATAAGAAGCAAATATAGCAGACAATATGATCATGATATGGAGGCGCGGGCGCGATTGCATTGCACATAACTGAGGCATTAATTTATGATGAGATGTGCTCCACAGACATGAGGAACTATAGAAAGCTTGAAATGTCTTTAAACGAAACAATTTAAAACGAAAAGAAATAGGCTACTCTCTGATTATGTAATCTATTATGTGCATTTATTTTTATAGGTGCAATCACTACGGAGATGGCGATCGTCAACTTCATCTTTGCAGCGACACTGACACAGAAAAACACGTTTATAAAAAAAAAAAACCAATGCACCCATGTCCCCGGATTTACAAATGCACATCTTGATTGTTCCACGCACACATATTATGTCGAAATAACGAGGTATTATGTTGAAATAAGGATTTATTATTATTTATAATGTTAAGGCATAAAAAAAAAATTTTGTTTGGTTCCGGTTTCCGACCGACCCTGTCATTTTATGTGCGACCCAAATTTATTTTATGAGCTTGGAGGAGAAATAATAAAAATTTAATAAATACACAAATAAAAAACTTTGAGGCGAACTATAATTTACGTTTTTGTACAGCACCGTATTTTTATAGCACGCGATGCAAGATGCCTGTTGTCCTCCAGCAAAACAAACGAGGCAGCTACATGGTCGTTCACACATCGTTCGTCAAACTGAACTATAATACATACAGCGGGGGAAATAAGTATTGAACACGTCACTATTTTT